ACTCTTGCTGGCTGGTTCAAATCAGCCGTTCTGGCCCAAACTTTTCTCCAAGTTGACTGATTCAAACTGGCCTCTGATTCTGACTGAATTGCTGTGCCTGGCCTTATACTAATTTTAGCAATATGTTTTAATTTTCTGGCTCATTTTCATTCTCTGGCTTGTTCTGTCTTCACTTATGTAGAACTTGTTCTCTCTGCCATCTGTGTCTGTAAAACTATTCCAGTTTAAAAAAATAACTCTCAGTAAAAAACTTCCCCTCTCTCCCTGCACTCTTCCTAAGGAGCCTCTCTTTCCTGTCTTGTTCTCATGAGAGCTGGGCATATTCCATCTCTGACTCATTCTGTCAAACCTTCTCTGAGTTGTCACTTTGTCTGCCCACTAAACATCACTTTCAAACATGGCTGCTTTCTTCTTTAAACTAAACTTCCCTTCATTGTTTGGGATTGAGGGCATGTCTATGTTTCAACCAGATTGTAATGCTAGAATGTCTGCATTCTAGCCAGATCACATAAACTAGAAGGTTTTTGGATGTGATCCCTTGCCAGAGCAGCCATGTTGCTAGATTAAAAGTCCTCTACACACAGGTTTGAAAATTCCAGTCCTCTGGGAGCTGTCAATGCTGTTGCTCTTAGATCTATGATATCTTGAGAACTCACATCATGGTGGAACAAAACCACTCACCTTACTGTAAGAGGTAAAAGAGGGGAAGAAGAAAAGCCCAGGTCTCACTATGCCCTTCAAAAACAGGTCTGGTCCCCGGCTACCCAAGAGCCTCTTGAGGGTTCCACCATCCCCCAATAGTGCCACCTGAGGAGCAAGCTTTCCCACCTGGGCTTCTGGGGGTTGCAGCACACAGTCTCACTTACCCAGATAACAGTTCGCCAGGGCCTAGAGTTCTTCACATCTTCCAAACAGAGAAGTGTATTTTACCAAAAGTCAAGTTTTATACAGCTGGACAGTCCTCTGAATCACTGTACTTCTTGCTTGCTAATTTGTGACAAATGATTTTTTTTTTTTTTGTACAGAGTTTAAATTTACCTTATTGTTTGAAGCCTGCCTAATGTAAATCTTTATGGCCGTGCCGGAACATGCCAGTCAGCCATTCCTGCTGGCAGTTAAGCACTTCTAACTGCAGGTATACTACATGGGGCCGTCTGGGTGGGAGTCTGCAGAGGCTTGTAGCCATCTGTGTCTCCAACTGTGCCTCCCTTTTCAAGTGTCACGACCTCAGGAATGGGGACCTGGCAAGACACAATGACCCTTTTCTATTCCTTGGAACAAGTGGTTTCCTCTAAGGAAGGTACTTTTCTGGAAAACATGTTATTTCAAGGACTCTTGATTTCACAATGTAGCCAGTCCCACATAGGACCTGCCAGGCTTCAGAGCCAGAGACTGTGGAGAGAGGGCACAGCGAGGGTGCCCCTCCCCCTTCCTCCCACAGCTGGGCACTCCAGGATCTCCGTCTTTCCTTCTACAGACAAACAAGATGTGGTTCTCACTGTTGCAGCCCAGCATGTGGGGTAGGGGTTCAGCCAGGACTATCACAAACTGGCTGGGGTGTCCAGAACACACGGTTCATTTGTCCTGCCCTTGTCCAGGGCTGGAGCTGAGAAAGAAGTCCCAAGGCAGGAGCCAAAGTTAGACCTGTAGAAACAAAATTTAGTGAATCTGTGCAGGAACTTGAGTACCCCAGGGGACTGACATTTGTTCTTCCAGGGCCCCAGGCCTCAGCAGGGGCTGCCTCCCCAAAGGATGCACCTCTGGAGCTCCCAAAAGAGATCACCAGAGGCAAAGATCCCATCTTCCAAATCAAATGTGCGGCGAGGAGCAGGTGTTGCTAAGTTTTGCACAAGCCTGAGGAGTCAGGCCTCTCAGCTTCCACTCCTCCTGGAGCCATCACCTGGACCCTGCTGAGGGGACAAGCAGCCCAACTTTGCTCCTGCAGAGTTGCTATCAGCCCAAAGCACTCACAAAGTAGAAGCTTGGCACCCAAGTCTGCGCACCAGAGACCGCGGGGCTGCTGTGCGCACTGATGGATGACACCTGTGAGAGCACAGGCCTGCTACACTGTGAGAATCCGTGGAATCTGGCGGTAGCCATGGGGTGGGTGGGAAAGCACTGGATTTAGAACTGGGAGGGCTGAGTGCCAGAATGGCTCTGCCCCAGATTCCCAGGCTGGCCTGCAGTAGCCCACTGCCACCAGCTAAACATTCTTCATTTTGCTGGCACTTTGGTGCCATTTTGTCTTGACCTTTATTGTTACCTTCCTCTTTGGGGGTGGTGAGCAGAGGACGGCCTTCGGCAGTAAGGGCTCCCTGAAGGCTGTTGCTGGGCCTCTCCCTCTTCTTACACAACAGGCTATGCCAGGAAGAACGGCACACCACATCCCTCATACGCCATACAAACACCACACAAACCAGACACACACATAGCACAGCACACAGACACACCACACTGCCCACAGTCAAACCACACACACACACACCAAACACCGCAGACACACACATATATCACACACACACAACCACAGCTCATACCAACAACTCCATACACACATCACACACACCCCGCAAACATCTTCCACCCCTCAGTACACACAACGCATACTATACACATACCACAGGTGCTAGCTAATTTCATGTCAACCTGAGACAAGCTCGCCTGAGAGGAGGGAACCCAAACTGAGAAAATCCCTCCATAGATTGGGCTTTAAGAGGCACCGCTACAATGAGCAAGTATGTGGTGGAGAGGTAGAAAAGAGAGAGAAACAGAACAGCTTGCGCACTATGAAGAGGAGGGAATTGGGGAAGCAAGCATGGTGAGCAGCCTTCCAGCCCAGGCTACCACCCAGAGCCACGTCTGCATTCGCACCCTGGAGCAGCAGGGATCTGCATCAAGGTCCATGGCCCATGTTACCACCAAAGACCACATGGACATCCCTGGCATAGGCTACCACTTGGTGCCATGGCTGAGGGCTTTGCGGAGCTGGCCCTACCCTTGGCCAGCTGCGGCCCTTAGGAAGGCAGCTCACACCTCACCTGGGCATCACAGAACACAAACTGTAGATGTGGTCCTGGTGACATGAGCTCTGGAGAGCTGCTCCAAGGGCCTGAGTGCAGTAGAACTGGCCTGTCCCTCCCCCCCCCCCCACCCCTCATCCCCGCCCGGGCAGTGTGGGAGAGCTGGCAGGCTGAGTAACTCAGCTACCACCCAGGCCCTGATTTAGGGCTCTGAGCCGGCCCACCCCAACATCTGCCCCATCTGTGGGCTGCCAGACCATGTGAAGGGGCCAGTCCCGCAGAGCCAGAGCTGCAGAGTCTCTGTGATACAGACAACAACAGGATATTGAGAGGAGTCCCCTGAGGACCCTGCATTGATAGTGGAGGGGAAGTCAGCGACCTCACGGCAGACTCAACAACTTACTGCACTGAGCCTTTGCTAGTAAAGCTGCTTAGGGAAAGTGTGTACTGTGACAGGCTGCAGCTTCCACAGCAAGATTTTTCTCTTTATTTTTATGTTTTGTTTTTGCTTTCTTTGGAGGTGTGTTGTAAGGGTAGAGGAAGGATATGAAGGGACAGGAAAATGAGTGGAATTGGGGCCCATGATGTGAAATTTAAAAAGGACCAATAAAAATTTTTAACTGGGCTGTAGGCAAGCTGTGGAGCATTTTCTTAACTAGTGATTGATGTTGGAGGGCCCAGCCCATTGTGGGTAGAACCAGTTCTGGCCTGGTGGTCCTGGGTTCTATAAGAAAGCGGGCTGAGCAAGCCATGAGGAGCAAGCCATGAGGAGCAAGCCATGAGGAGCAAGCCATGAGGAGCGAGCCATGAGGAGCGAGCCATGAGGAGCAAGCCATGAGGAGCAAGCCAGTAAGCAGCACCCTCCATGGCCTCTGCCTCAGCTCTTGCCTTCAGGTTCCTGCCCTGCTTGAGTTCCTGTCCTGACATCTTTTGATGATGAACAGTGATATGGAAACATAAGCCAGATAAATATTTTCCTCCCCTAGTTGCTTTGGTCATGTTGTTTTACCATAGCACTAGAAATCCTGAGACACCATATGTACTGCACGTTACACATAGCACATATCATGAACCACACATATATGTACCACATCAGACACCCACAACACACCATATTTACACATGCACATACACAAATAAGGCACCCATCACAGCCTACAAAGTGACTGTCTGCTCTTTTCACCAACGCCATTATCAAACCTTATGTTGCAAAGTTCAGAGACCTCTTCTCTATCCTCTCCTCTAACAGCCCCCTGCTAACTTTAACCAGTTACCCAGGCTCTCAAACTCACCCTGTCCCCATAAAGCTACCACATGAAGTATACTTTATCTTACCTAGACAATGAATGTTTTAGTGTAGGCTCTAAATATTTCTTTTATACTAGAAATCCCCCATCCTCCACATGAAGTCCCAGCCTATCTGGCCTGGCGCCTCTACTGTCCAGATTCTCTGTTGTGTATTCCCCTCACTTTCCTGCCCTGCACTGTGCTGCCTCTCAGCCCTCTACTTCGTCAGCTTGCCCCCGGGAGAAGCACTTCCCTTTCCAAAGTTCCACTCTTATGGACAGCATCTCCCTGCCCTCAGACCTCTACAGTCCTCTGAGGACCTGGAGTCCATGTCCTGCCTCAAGAGCCACCTCCTCAAGGCCTCAGCAGCAGGTAGCCAGGCCCCCCTTTGTGCCTAGGCCCTGAACTTTCCCAGCCCTAAAAACCAAAGCTGCCTAGGTATTATATTTAGCACCGATGGCCTAGAAATAAGCTTCCCTTAAGAGGTGACTGGAGTCCAGCCTCCACTCCTTCAGGCTGGGCCAAGCTGCTGTTCTCCCATCCCTCAGGTCCTCTACACCAACAGCTACAGGCAGAAGGTTATTGTGTAATTCAAATGCTGCTTTCAGTATTCTCCATATCTTGAGTGATTGATTAAGCAAAACAGAATGAGCTAACGGTGAAACGAAGTTATAGTGTATAAATGCAGGTTTACTGGGAGCAGTGGGGGAGGGGAGCATGCACTAGGGGCAGGGCAGGAAGGGGGACTCAGCCCTGACTAGATAAACTAAGTATGACAGTATCCGGAGTGCCGAGACACACTTCCGGGAGCTTCTGTCCTCAGGCTGAGCCTCGACCTCCCCAGATTCACTTCACGCCAACCCATCTAGCAGCCAGCCTTCCTTCCTGCACGCCACCCTCCTCTCGGCATCCCTCTCTGTGGTAGCCACATGTCTGGACACGCGTACACCCCCGAGTGCCCTTGTTTGGTCTCGTCCCCCTTGACAGGCAGGTCCACGAGAATTACCCATCCAGGGTTAGATGCAGACATATGAGCCGGGAGCCTCAGAATTTTCCACTCTTCAGATCATAGTCTCTAAGTATGAGATGCTGTCTATTCCGTGAGCATGAAGGGAGCAGATTGCCTAGTAATAAAAACAAATGTCCCTTTATTTGTGATAAAAACAGCAGCTTCCTCCCATGCAGTGAAACATGATAACAACATTTTAACTTTTTTGGAATTATCTTTCAGCTCACGATTTTTCTATCATTCCTAAATGATGCGAATCACATTTGCTAAGAATAGACCCGGTCTGTCAGACTGTAGCATTAAGCCAGTGTTGTTCAGAACGTGTTAAACATCTTCTCCATGGCTTTCCTGGGCTTTCTGTGGCTCTCCTGCTATTCTGCTTCCTTTTGTGGTTTTCCCAAAGCAGATTTGGAAAGTCCCATAAAAGGATATACATTCTCAATTATAAAATAAGTCACTTGTTCCCAGAACATAGCTCCTTGTTTTCAAATTTTCAGGGCTGATCTCAGGCAACAGGAGCAAGCCTGAGGGTTGGGCACTGGGCAGCATCCAAAACCACTAACAAAAAAATGGTTTCTCAAAATGTCCACTTGAGGGTACTGGTTCCTTGGGTGGCAAATAAACTTTGTCACATCACCCTGTTGACAGGGTTCTAACTCCTGGTGAGGTTCTATAGCCCACTGGAAAATGCCACAGAGTGGCCACCCACACCTCCTCAGGCTCCTCAGCCCCACTGGGAATAAGACCCAGCAGATTTCTCAGCTTACAGGTAATTCATGCCTGGTCCCAACACCCCAGCTCCCCAGGATAAAAGGCACAGTGAGCCAGAATGGGAAAAGGTTGACATCTGTGGAGCGCAGAAGGACAAGGATAGAGGCCTGGGAGGAGAGAGACCTCAGGCAATGCTTATCGCAGGGGTAGGTGGACCTGACCCACTAGCAGAACAGATGCCAAGGCACTGCTAGCCACCTCACACAACAGTCCAGAAGTTCTGTGCACTTGGCAATGGCCAGGACTGGAGATCAGGCCCGGTGAAGAGCGAGGCCTCCTGGTGAAACGTGGCCACGGTGAAGCTGCCGCGGGGCCCCCTGGCTGGGTCTTGGGTCTTTGAGTCGTAGCTGAAGCAGCAGAGGGTGCAGGTGATGGCTATGGTGATGACAAACAGCACCGCCACCATTCCAATCACTGCTGTCTCCATGAGCTCCGAGGGACACTGGCCTTAGTGCCAGAAGCTGGGGCTGCTGGTGACCACAGGGGCTCTGTGCTCCACGGCTTCTCCTCCTCTTCTAAGACTCTGAGGCCCTGGGTTGTGCCACCGTAGGCCACCAAACCTTTCTGAGGGAGTCAGATGATCTTTGGTCTAGCTTTAACCATGGGTCAGACCTCCAAGGGCTGTGATCAGCTCCACCACTGGCAACTCCTAGGAGCACCATCAGGAAAGACATAAGCAAGTAATTCCCTGGACGAGGAAGGGGCAAGGGGAAGAGAGAAGATGATGTTGCTAAGAGGGAGGCCAAGCCAGACTCACTAGCAAAGCCTCAGGACTTCAAGTGTGACTGATTAAAAACAAATCAACTCTACAAAAATCTGCCCCTCGGTGGACCCAAGAAGCCTGGCTCCTCCCTGGGAGGGACCTAGGGGCCAGCAGTTGGCCTCTCTGCCGCCTTCCCAGCAGCGGAGAGGCAGGGCTGAGCAGCCTGGAGGTGGATGTGAGCCAAGGCGGGTGCACACAGAGGCTGCTGGGAAGGAAAGCTGGGAGAAGGAGAGCAGGTTGTACTTGCCTTCTCTTCCCTACAGAGTGGGGAAGTGTGGTATAGACAGGGAAGCCCTCCTCCAACCCCCTCAGTGCCTTTTGCTTTTCTAGACACCCCACATGCACCCCCACACACACACTCATTTTGCTGCCATCCGGGCCTGCCGCCCCCACTGGGTGCTGTGACACTTACCAGGGGCTGCGTCTGTGGCTGTAGCCGCCTCGTCTGCTGACCACCCTAGGTGGCCATGACTCTCTTCCCTGAAGCCGGCAGGGTTTTGTTGTTGCTGCCTAGAACTTGGCTCCGAGATGCCGGAGCAGCTGTGAGTACTTCCTGAATCCCTTCCTCCAATTGTGGTTGAAGGCCCATGACCCACAGCCACCACCTCCCCAGCTACAGCACTTAGCCCGCCCCACACACTTGCAAGATCATTAACTGACCCTTGAGAGTATCAGAGGAGGGAGCCTGGCCCAAGCCCACTCACACCAGTGCCTCCTGAGACTGGATTCCACCCAGAAAGGAGTCTGTGTTACCAGCCTGCCCTGTACCCATACTATGGAAAATGGAGTCTGATGAACTAGCACTTGTGGATACTGAACACTGGCAGGCACTGTCTCACAAACGCTGGTCCACAGCCCTGTGCAGTCAGAGCGCCTCCATTTTACAGGGGCAGGCTGGCCAGCTCCGCTGCAATGGCAGAGCAGGGAGTCCCTTCCTCTACCCCAACTCGCTCTTCACTAGACCACACAGTCGGAGTAATCACCTGATTCTGCCGCTTGCCTGATCAGGACCCCATCCCTTCCTCCCTCCCCCAGAAGAGAGAGAGCTGTACCCAAGGTCATGCAGCCAGGAACTTCTCTGGTTTCTCCAAGACCCAAGAGAACTTCAGCAGCTGTGAGAGCAAACACCCCACACACAGAGCAGGAGAGCAAACAATACTGTCCTGTTCCAGCGCGGCCCCTTTCCTAAGATGCCCGGACAAGCTGGGCTCATCCTCCACACGGCTACAGGGAGCCAAACACTTGGCAGTATTTGTGTCAACTGGGGCAGCCAGCAGTGGAGAAACAAGTCGCCCCCAGCATCGCCTGGTGGGCCTGGGAGATGAGCCCCAGCGGCTGTTGCAAGTCTGGTCGATTATGGTGCTTCTCTTTGCCTGTTCTTTGAGTGTGTGCAAGTTGGAGGCTGGGGAATGGCCCAGCATTTTTAACAGGAACACAAAACACTTGTCCACTCCCATTACCTTCTGCCTCATATAGGTTTGCTTTTCTACTTAAACTTTCCCTCTTACCCATCTTTGACTGATCTGTAAAATTCCTGTGAGGCTAAAGTGGACAGGTCTGCAGCCGAGTGCAGGAGGCTGTGACAGGAGACGGGCAGCCGCTGAGGGCTGAGCCAGGCTAAGCATGGCAGTGAGGAAGAAGAGATGGGCGTGAAGGAACTCCAGAGAGAAATCAACCCATCAGCCCCTCGGCTCTACTTTCTCCTCAGAGGAATCTAGTGTAGTTGTCATTGTGAGTTTGTACTCCTCTCTCACTGGTCACCCCTCCCCTAGTCCTCAGAGTCCACTGGGAAAAGGAAGGAAAGAGGACATTCTATTCCAGTGAGTCACCCTGACTTTCTGGCCATTTCCCTCTCCACTCAGCCTTGCCCTGCTTCTCCCTTGTTCCCAAGCTCAGGCTGGGGCAAGATTTTCTTCCCCTTCATGGAACCAACCATTTAATCATAGTGCACTCGGTCCTTGCCTGGTGGCTTTGGTAGGACTCTATTATCCATTTCATTGTAGGAAAGGAGAAACTGAGGCCCAGGCCAGGCAAGCACTCTCTTAATGTCACCCGGCTCTCCAAACAGTTAGCTCTTCCCTCCCTCCAGACTTATCAGCCACTGCTGTGCGTCTGCCAACAGTCTGGCTGGAGACTCGGGTCTGGGTAAGGACCCCTGCTCAGCCCCTGAGACACTGGACCCAGAGCAGCCAGAGGGCAGCACTGGCTCTGGACCAGGCTAGGAGAGGCACTGCAGGCCAGTGCTCAAGGAACAGTCTAGGTGGTCTCCGCTGCTCTCTCTCCAAAGCCCCGGGCCGTGCACACTGAATTCCTCCTCAGAGATTACACAGGAACCACCCATTTCTCCCTACTCCACAGCCAGACCCCAGGCCCAGCTCCTCGGCTAGAACAGGTCCCAGGGCTCTGGAACACAGCCCTGGGGGCCCCTCCCTCCCACTGGACTACAATCGAGAACCATTCCACAAAAATAAAAGCCTTCTGGTGGCTTTTGTTTCTTAGAGCCAAGCAAGCAACGACTGGACCAGGCTGCCCCATTTCACATTCTGTGCCTGGAAACACATCACAGGGCCTTTCCAGGCACACCAACACTTCCTACCCAGCTGGGCACTGGTTCTGCCAGACACCCTTGTTACTTTCAGGGTCACCAGGAATTGCAGTCACAAGGTGGGGTGTTCATCCAGCCCTGCTCCAAGCCCCAGTCTTACGCTGTGTAGAGGGCCACCCCGGCCGTTCTCAGATCTCCTTTGCATATGGGGATAAGGGCTCACACACAAATGAAATCAAACAGAACCCAGGTCCCAGTACCCCCATTCCCCCCAGAGGCACATCAGAATCTGCTCTGGATAGAGGGCAGGGCCAGGCAGATGCTGTTCACCACCTCAGTGGTGGGCTCCGTGGCGATGGTTGTGGTGGTGGTGGAGACGATGAGGAGAATGGTGGCGATGCTGGTGATGCTGCTGGTGGTGACGAAAGCCTGCACTGCTCAACCCAGACACACAGCCACGGTAATGGTGATGGCGAACAACTCCCAGGAGAGCCAGGTGCCGGCCATGAAGGAGTCGAGGCTGGGCTTGCCGGACTCGGTTTCTCTCCACGTCACGCTCCTGGGATCTGTGGAAAAGACAGATGGCCAGCAGCAACAGCAACATCAAGAAAGCCAGCACGGTGCCTATGATCCAGATCACAAAGGTTGTGTTCCCCGGAAGGCCTGACATCTGGAGACCAGAGGGCCCCCCTTCACTCAGGGGCTCCCTTCAGCAGCCTCTGCTCAGCGCTCACAGTCACTGGAGTTAAGGGTGCCCCTCTCCTGCTCTCCCTGGAGAGCAGCCAGAGAATGTGGGTGAGGCCTATTCGGACTGGCTTCTCAACAGCCAGGCTGTGTGGAGGGGAGGCCACTGGAGGAGTGGGTGGAGACCAGGGAACTGTGGGGCTGGTTTGCTTGAGGGGAGGGCTCTGAATTCAGGGATCAGAGGTCAAGATCCCATGGGCTCCTTCCTCCCAGGCTTCGGTTTTTTCTCCTAAAAACCACTGGACACACACAGCTCTCCAGCTCTGTAACTGCAGTCTGCAATGTCCACTGAGTGTCCAGTGAGTCAGCCTAGGGTCGGTCTGTCAGGGATGTCTGGGGCAGTTCATCATGCAGGGAGCCCTTGCTTCTCCTGCTGGGTTGAGGAAGCCAGAAGGCTGCATGTCAGGCTTGGGTGAATGGGAAGCAGGAAGGAAACCGCTTGAGGGCACGTAGGCCAGCACCTTGGCTCGCAGGTCAACAGTCTCAGTGGTTGGCAGTCTCTGTGCTCCACCTTGGCAAAACACTCAGGCCGTTCCCACCTGGCTGTGGACTTGCACAGTGACCCGAATGTGTTGTCTTCAACTCTCTCATTACTGGTGCTGAACCCCCTGGTTCCCTAGTCATCACCACAGATCTCCCTAGCATCTCTGCAAGCTGACTGGGCTCCCCAAAGCCCCAACTCTTCCTGGGAGCCTCAGGGGTCCTTCAGCCCCTTCCATTGAGCTCCTACCCCTGAATGCTCAGCCCTAAGCCTTGGGCTGGCTCTCAACTCTCTCAGTTCTGCAGTAGAGCTCCGTAAAGCCGGACAAGGCCCTTCCTTGGGCCTACTGTTCCTTCTGGGAAGGTTCCACAGCAGAGTGAACTCTGGGGACACTCCCCATCCTGCTCCCAATTGTGGCTGCTTTCTCTGGCATCTTTAGTGAAAACCTGCTGCAACCCAAAGGGCTAAGCAGCACCCTTGGCCAAGCTGACCCCGGGGGAGGCTGGTCTTCAGACTCCAGAGGCTCCTCGGGCCTCTCTGGAGATGTCACTTGAACTTTTAACGAGGTTGAGTAAAGAATTCCTTCTGCAGACTGCTGGGGCTCTGGGGCCAGCTGCTTCCCTAGAGGCACATTGAAGAGAAAGCCTGCTGGGGTCTGGGGGAGAGAGGACGAGGAAAAGCGAGAAGGCCTGAGGAAGAGAGGGTCAGACGGAGGCTTTCCCTCTGCAGAACTTCTCCAAGGAGACGCCCACTCCACACCAGCTGGGAACTGCTCTGCAATGTGCAGACCTGAAGGCTTCAGCCATTCCCAAGGGCCCCTGGGAACCATCCTGCCCCGGCCCACATTAGGGAAACTGAGGCCAGAGAAGGGAAGACACCTGCCTGAGTCTCTCACCTTTGGGGGTCAGTGTCTACCATAGCAATCACGAGCTACCCGGGGCTGAGGATGCTAGCTGCCGCTGGGACCTTACAGAGACAATGGAAGATGGCGTGCACTGACTCTGAGAGCTTGGGGACCAGGGATTGAGAGACTCCCATCCACGCACCGCACACATTTATTTTATGAGGTAAAGACTTTTTTCCCATGTGGCTAAAAAATAGAACCTTCTTACCAGCTGCTTTGGGTACTTGGAGGTGGCAGGCAGTGGCCTCCAGGCTTCCGGCGGTAACTCCCCATCCCCTGTGGGATAGTGTTTTCCTACTTTTAATCCTGTGACCGTTTCACTGATAATTCTGAATGGCCTGACTGGACACACAGTTTGCTAGACTGATGATGACCTTAGAGAGACTGGCTCTGAGGGCTGTTAGGGTAGCCCCGCCCTCAGAAAAGCTGTCCTGTGGCCCTGTCATTGTTTCCCTCTGCAGCTGTGTCTCTCCTGAGGCACTCCACAGGCGTCTTTCTTATTCAGGACTTCCAGACTACCCGCTGATGGGCGAGCCTTTGGAAGCTCTTGCTAGCTTACCTCAACCCCGTGCTTTCCGGGCACCTCGACTCAACAAATGTCTTTGAATGCACAGAGACACTTTTAAGGTAACGTCCTCCTGTGGGGACTCATGCGTCTCTTACTTATGTCTGCACACTTTTATGTATATATGCACATATGTGCGTGTTCCACGCAAGGCTGTGTGGGTGGGTTCTTGGTTGGCTCTCAAGAACAACCACATTGTTTTCACTGATTGGTGGCACCACCTAGTGGTGACAGTGAATAAATCACTTGTGTTCTGACCCACCAAAAATTTCTATTACCCTGACGTGTTTGTAGACCTTATTTAACAGGCATGCATTTAGCTAGCTCAGAATTATAAATGACATGGCCAAAGAATTAAAAATGAGAAAACACCACTCCACAGTAATCACATCCTTATCCCTGGAACTTCATTGTAAATCTCTATAGGACACAGTGCATGGGAGCCAGGTAGGGGTGTACTGACGAAGAAAGGGCTTCCCTGGGAAGGGTTGCAGGTGTGTTCCGGCGGGCCTGTATGAAACTATGCAAGAGGCATCCAGGGCAAGGACCAGTCCAAAGGTGGCTACAGCAACAAACAGCTGGGTGACCTGGACAACAGTGTCTGTCCCAGAGAAGCCAGCAAGAGATCTACCCATCCTTTGGTTTGACAGAATGTAGGGACAGTGGCCAGAAAGTTTCTAACCTGGGCACTCGGGTCAGTTGAAGAAAGAAGACACCCTGCCAATGAGCAGGACATGTGCCTGGAAATAAAACTGAAAAACTGAAAGCAAGTGGCCAGAGGGGCTGGGGGGCTATCTTCAATGTCTCAAAACAAAGCAATGTGGCTTGGAAAAGTGTGTGTGTGTGTGTGTGTGTGTGTGTGTGTGTGTGTGTGTGTGTGTGTGCACATGTTTTGCAACAGGGTCTGTCTGTGTAGCCC